GTTGACGAGAGGAGAAACGGTGCCGTTGAGGCGGTTGTTGTGGAGGTCGAGCTTCGAATCTCTCTGCACACCCATTTTCAAAAGCTTATCTGGCATGGACTCTGTGAAATGGAGGCAGGCTTTCTTGGAGGACCCAGGAGGGCTAGGATTTGGGCAGGGGGCCGGCCTTGGGCTTTCCCTTGATAAATGACAAAGAGTGAGAGTGGGCCAAGGGAGCTCGGCCTTGGCGTTGCTTGGAGAGTTAGGTGCGGATGGGCCTGGTGTTGCTTTGGAGAGATCTGGGTTTTGTGCTTCTTCTCAACCGAATTGGGCTTGTGGCTTAAACCTTTTGTTGCGGCTGGGCCGAGACACTCATACATCTACATTTTCTTTTTTTCTCTTTTTTTTTTTTGTAAATACATAATAACATATGTATTCATTTTTTTTTCCTCTTTTTCTTTTTGTAATGAAATTGACTTTCTTTAATAAAACATTTTATTTTATTTATTTTTTTAGTATGACTGTACTCAAAGTTGAACATTTGAGTTGCCTACGTACCCTTCCAAAGAAAGAGATCAAGTCAAAACGTAGTTCAAATACATACATATATATTTTTTTGGTATTTTTTTTTTTTTTTTGTGCCGTTTGCAGTTTCAGCTCATGCAGGCAAGGAGTGTTGGTGTCGTTTGCAGTTTCAACTCGTGCAGACAAGGAGCGTTGGTATTGCCTTTTATGCTCGTGCAGACCAGGAGCGTTGTGCCATGCAGTTTAGGCTCGTGTAGGCGAGGAGCCTTGTGTCTTGCAGTTTAGGCTCGTGTAGGCGAGGAGCCTTGGTTCGTGCAGTTTAGGCTCGTGCGAACAAGGAGCATTGGTGTTGCCTTTTATGCTCGTGCAGACCAGGAGCTTTGTGCCATGCAGTTTAGACTCGTGCGGGCGAGGAGAATTTGTGAATTTTGTCAAGTAATCCGGGAGAGGCGTTCCTCACAATTTTCATAGCAAGGAGCTTTGACCGCGTGATTGAAGAAGTCTTCGGGCAGGAAATCGCGCATCATGATGGGGATGAACGATCTATGTGTCGAAATTTCATCATCTTCAACACGTTCACGTTGCTTTGAAGGTTGACAATAGCTGCTTTGCCCCCTTTCCGATTGAGGAGACGTATGCTTCTTGTGCAATTTCTTAGGAGTGACTTGAGTCCATCCTTCAACTTTGCTTGTCTTTGAGGTTGCCCCCAGCGGTTGCGGTGAAAACTTTGAGTTGGAAGAGCCAAAAGTGAAGGTGGTATAGTTTGACTTCGCCACTTCGTCAAGATCTAGCTCGATGATTCCTTTCTGAGCCAGCTTCATGATGAGATCTTTCAGCACGAAACATTTTTCTGTCGGATGACTGATGAAGCGGTGGAATTTACAGTACCTTGGATTGTAGGTGCGATTCATCTCTTCCGGCCGTCTGCACTCAGGCAAACTGATCACCTTCTTGTCCAACAGGTCATCTAGCATGGCAACCACATCAGAGTTGGGGAATGGATAAGTCTTCTCTTCAAGCTCCTTCAAAGTGCGTCTACGCGTCTCTTGATCACGAAAAGCTTCGGTTTGAATCGCCTTGCCTCGTGTGGATATTTTGACAGGAGATGTGTTGATCATCATCGCTTCCTTGGTGGGTTTCCAAGCAGCCTTTTCCACCTTTGTCCCAAGAACTTTGTCGTTCTTGTAGTCGGCGATCGGTTCTTTCTTCCCATGATGGGCGATGCTCAACTCCATGTCATGGGCGCGAGTGGCCAATTCCTCGAAGGTCCGCGGTTTAATGCCTTGAAGGATGTATTGCAAACCCCATTGCATGCCTTGGATGCACATCTCGATTGAAGAGGTTTCCGAGAGCCTGTCTTTATAGTCGAGGCTTAGAGTGCGCCATCTGTTGATGTAATCAATGACTGGCTCGTCCTTCCACTGCTTTGTGCTCGTTAGCTCTAGCATGCTCACAGCGCGGCGGGTGCTGTAGAAACGGTTGAGGAATTCCCGCTCTAATTGCTCCCAACTGTTGATGGACTCAGGCTCTAAGTCCGTGTACCACTCAAAGGCATTTCCTTTCAGCGAGCGCACAAACTGCTTGGCGAGGTAGTCTCCCTCCGTTCCCGCGTTGTTGCAAGTTTCGACGAAATGTGCAACGTGCTGCTTTGGGTTTCCTTTTCCATCAAACTGCATGAACTTTGGTGGTTGATAACCCATTGGCATCCTTAGGGCATCAATCTTCTTGGAATAGGGCTTCGAGTAGAACAAGGAGGTATGTGAGCTCCCTTCGTACTGTGCTTTGATGGTGTTGGTGATCATCTCCTGCAGCTGCTGGATAGAAAGAGATCCCATGAGTGCCGCTGCTTGGTCTGGCTCCGGCTTCCCATCGATTTTCTTCATCGGAGTTCTTCGTCTCCGCCAGCTCCTCCCTTTAGTGGATCATCCTCTGGGTCGGGTTTATCGCCGTCCTGCGCCTCCAGTCGGTTGACTAGTGCTGCAATTTGCAAGTCTTTTTCTTCCACAGTTCGGGTTAGCCTTGCGATTGCTTCATTCATTTGAGCCAGCTGCTCATCGATTGAAGTTGCTCCAATGGTCATGACTTGCATGGCTGAACTGTCGCTTGAATCGGCATCGGATAGCATGGATTCGGAGTATTTCCTTGGGCTTTCCCCCTTTGGTGCCCTTAGTGAGGCTAAGGTGATCGAAGGCTCGTGCCTTGGGTGCTTTTGTTCCCTTGGCAGAGTTGATGCAGAGGTGAAAGAGGCGGCAGACGTAGCTCTTGCCATGCTTCGAGTCGTGATGCCCAAAGTGACACCAGTTGCGACGATGACGCTTTTATTCTTTGCGCCGGTTGCGGGAACAGTTTGAGTCTTCCTTGATGCCATTAATTTTGGAAGTGCGCTTGAATTTCTTGAACGGAGAAAGAGATGAGAGGCAGAGATTGTCCCACTGGGCGTGCCAATTTGTGAACACGGAAAATTCCTGAAACGAATGAGACAAGAACAACGTGCACAAACAAATATTTGTATTTGATGATTTTGGGTTACAATCTCTCTCTATTTTGATCCTCTGATTCGATCTCCGTAAGGTGTTGATTGGTGGATGTTTTGTTGATCCAAGGGCCGTTGATGCTTGATCTTGGATGAATAGTTGGAAGTTTCTTCAAAGGGCCGTGGGCTTGATCTTTGAAGGTGGATTTGAGCGGATCTTCAAGGAGCCGTTGGGACTTGATCTTGAAGAACAGTGATGAACGGATCTTCAAGGGCTTTTGGGCTTGATCTTGAAGAACAGTGATGAACGGATCTTCAAGGGCTTTTGGGCTTAATCTTGAAGAACGGTTGGATGTGTGTGGATTTGTCGACGTTGTTGATCCAAAGGGCCGTTGGGGCTTGATCTTGGATGAACGGATGATGAACGATGGTGCTTTCTTCTTCAAGGGCCGTCGGGGCTTGATCTTGAATTGGTGGATGATTGTTGATCCAAAGGGCCGTTGGGGCTTGATCTTGGATGAACGATGAACGAAGAACGAAGAGAGCTTTCTTGATTCTTCGGGAACCTAGATGCTTGAGAGCTTCGGAGTTTCAGAGCTTCAGAGCTTCAAGGTGTAATATCAATTCGTCCCCTTAAATGAATGAAATGGGCTTGTATTTATAGAATTTTCCAAGGCCTAACTTTGAATATAATATTCCAGATGAAATAAGTTGTTTCTGCCAGGTGTTGACACGTGTCCTATTTGATGACTTTTCCAACTCATTTCAATTTTCGTTGAGTCACACGCTACGTGTAAAATTTATGTAATACATGAGCGTTGAAACTTTGATTTATCGGTCAACATTTATTTACCGAAATTTCGATGTCTACAAGAATTATAAATGCTCGTGATTTTAGGCGATGGTTACGTGGTCGTTTAGCTTTTTAAAACCCTCAAAATCTCATGAATAATGTTTTTTATTTGAGTGCAAAATTAATAATAATTATTGTAGGAGAATGAAAAATGTAAAATAAATATACAACCATTCGTAATGACAAGCTTTACAACTTTCATGAAATGGTCAACTCCGAAATCAGACACCATAATCCATAAACCTTAGATTTAAATTTAACCATTGAATGTCATTTACGCTTTATTCTACTTACCGAATTTTATTTTTAAGATTTTCATTATTTATTGATTTAAAACATATTTTCTTTAACGGGTAACAGATTGGGTCAAATTACTTGATAATATTAACGGGTCAATTTCGGATCGGGTCATATTACCCATTTACTTTAACAGGTGTTACATGACATGACCTGTTAAGATATCAGGTATGTCATCAAAACAACACGAACACAAAAAACACGACACGAATGTCAGATTTAGTCTGTACAACTAATTAGGGCTTAACTATGTTGTTGGGTCAATCAAGGACAAAACTATGTTGTTGGGCTGAATTTGCAAGCTCACTGGGCCCTCAAGTACGCAATGTTATTTCCCGCGTGGTAAAACGTGTTCCCGCCATAGCAGATTCCGGAAGTACAAATTAGGTTTTCACCATTTCCCATTATGCTAGGCTTTTCATCTCTCTCTCTCTCTCACTCTCTGTGCCAGTAGCGCTGCAATTCTTCCAGGGAATTCCTCTCAACCCTTTCCTACTTCCTAATTTTAAAACTCCATTTATGTATTTATTTTTCTTAATTTATGTTTTAGATTCTTAGACTTGGCACAAAACCGAGTCCAATAACGTTTTAAAGTTCATGCACGTAGTGGAATAAAGCTTAATTGTTATTGTTGTATGTTTTAGATTCTAAACATATAGCCGACCCACTTAGTTGGATAAAGGTTGATCGTTGTTGTCGTATGTTTTAGGATATAATTTTGATCATAAGATTCTCATCTGAGCAGTAAATATTCTTCGTTTTTATTAACTGATGTCATATAAAAGAGTATGGTTTTTTTCCCACTTCAGTGATTTTTCAACTAGATTGAGACAACGGCCATGAAAAGGAAAAGAAAGTCAACAGCTTCTCCTGCCACCCAAATGGTGAAAAACGATGAACACATTCAACAACTGGGAACTAACATAACCGATCTTCCAAAGTCTTTCATTCACGATGTTCTACTGAAGCTCCCGACGAGGAACATTATTGCGTGCAAATGTGCATGCAAGACTTGGTATGGTCTAATTTCGGACCCCGAATTTGCTAAGTTACACTTTTCACAAGCACAGCCCTTTCCCATCATCCGGCCCCTGGATCCGTCCCGTGTGTCAAGAATCCTTTACTTGGCTGAGCTGGAAGACGGGTCTGGTTTTGATTTGAGGAAGTGCACCTGTAAGATTAACTATGATCGGTCTGGGGGTGGAAAGTCTTACATCCACATGAAACTCACCAAATACAAAATCCCGTTGCGCAATGCGGATGAGGTAATCGATAGCCAGGGCAATGTGGCGAGTTCGGTGGGTGGGAGGAACCATCATGGCAGGAAACGGAAGCCTTGTATCAGGATAAGGCCGAATCATCACAAGTACAAGGTGGTAAATTCGTGTAACGGCTTCCTTTGCCTGTCTAGTCCAGTCACTAATGACCCTGTTGTTGTCTGCAATCCGATCACCGGCGAGTTTATACACCTTCCGGAATCAGCCTCTAAGTGCGAGAAGGAAAAGGAATCGTATGATTGTGGATTTGGTTTCAATCCAAAGACAAATGAATATAAGGTGTTGAGAATATTTCAGCAAAGGGAACCCTACACTAAAGTGGCTGAGGTGCACACACTTGGGACAGACTCGTGGAAATTTGTTGGTCCTGCTCCATTCTTCCTATCCATGCTAGAACACACCACCTATGTGAAAGGAGCACTTTATTCGTTCTACTACGAGAGTTTAGGTTATAAAATATACTCTTTTGACTTGGAAACCGAAAAGTCTGAATCTGTTCCATCACCTCCTATTCGACTGGAGAAATCTCGTACTGTGAGCATGGGAGTTTTGGGAGATTGCCTTTGTTTGTGTGATTATGACGTTTTACGCATCAAGTTTTGGGTATTGGATGATCACGGTGCACAGAAAATATGGAGGCAGAAGATTTCTGTTTATACTGAAAATTGTGGAAGGTGGCCATATGGCTTATATAAATCGATGAACTACTTAAAGAATGGGGCTTTGTTGATGTTTCATTCCCGCACTAATTCCTTTTTCTACTATCACCCAAGAAGATATCGTAAGGCCATTTATCTTAAGATTCGTGGGTTTAAGTCGGATTTTGAAGCAATTAGTCATGTTCCAAGCTTGATTTCACTCAAGGACATTCTGGTGGGAAGTGATGTACAAGTCCTGCATATACATTCAAGGTAAGGATGTGAAACATTGAAATATCTTTTTACCTTCTGTGCTTACACCTTATCTGAATTGTTTGTATTTTGATCTAGTCCTGATTTTCTATAAATAGCAAAAATTTTAAGCTTTTTAAGTTCATCAGGGTCCCAAGTTACTTGTTGTGATATACGGAAAACATGTATGCTTTGCAACTGCAACTCCGCAATCTAAACATGAATACATCACTTGGTATGTTTACGATTTGCTTCCCAATCGATTTGACTGCCATCAATGATTTTTATTGTCTTTAGATCTAGGTGATTGAGTTGCTTTCACTTGGTGCTGACAAATTGGGTTAGCATCTCGTTGGATCTTTACACAAACGGATGCTTACTGCTTACATAGACACATATACGTATGTATTCATGTATGTGCGAGTACTTTACGTAAGGGCAAGTAGGATTCAGTGTTTTTCATTTCCCATATATTGCTTGCCTTAATATGTATTGTCTTTTGACATCTGATTTGATCGTGCTGTGAAAGTCGGGCAAAGATTGATATTGCAATATCTGTTTTCTCAAACGTTACTTCTCAAGCATCGAGAGACGAACATCTTGGTATTATTGACTGCTATTTGTTTCAAAGTATTGTACTTTTAATTTGTCACATCTGTTGACACAGGTGCGCAGAGTTGAGGCTGCTAGGAGAGTCCAAAGCTCTTTTTCTGGATGAAGAAATTGCGGAGTTGGCATCTGATTTTAATTCTTCCGACAGTGGTGGTGAAGATGAAGATGAAGATGAAGAATGAAACAAACATAATAGCGGAGGTGATGCAGTCTTACAATGGCGGAGTGTTACCTGTCTAAGGCGGTAAACTACCATTTTGTTAAAGGGTTTAACTGCCCTTAGTGCTATATATTTGGACACGAGAACTTGGATTCCCATCTAGCCTCAATGACCAACTACTGTTTTGGTTTGAAGTTACTTTGAATTGTTTTGGATCAGAAAATTACTTGCTATGTTTATGGAACACTTGATTATGTTTGAAGTGACTTTGAGAGGTCAATCTTCCTCGTCTAAAGCTGACTTGTTCATGGCTAATTAAATTAGGTAACAAAGATAAGAATAATTAAGCTCGTGTTATCACTTTTTTCAATGTCATAAGAAATCTTAAGTTCGAGTCTTCTCTTTCTTACATGGATATAGAAAAAGAGACGATTGGAAGTTTGAAACTACAGTTTATATGTTTAATTGGACTAATTTTCAATCCCATTGGACTATGAGTGCGGACATGCTTTATTTTTCCGTCAAACAAAAAGAAAAACTAATGAAAAAGGTTTAAAAACTTTGAGTTTTAACCAAAAAGATAAAAATGTGTTGTAAGTGAATAGTAGCATGAGTGATTTTTAAGTAAAAATGTTCTTAACGTTAAAAGTAAACAGTACTACGAGTGTTTCGTTAAGACTTTCTTTGAAAATTCAATTAAGTATGCATATATAATCAGAAAAAATAAAGAAAAAAACTCAATCGAAAGGATGAAAGTACCAATTTAGTTAATCGATTCAACTATCATCTTGTACATGCATGGACCAAGATTACCTTATCTGCAGTACGGAAAATGTCGGTACGCACACAAGATAACATATGATGTTTGTTATAGGAACATAAGAATATACACATCAGGATAAAACGTGATGTTTGCTACAGGAAAACGGGTTATACATGTCGGGATAACTAAATTTTTCTCTTGTATGTCCTACTACTGAACAAGAATGTATGCCATAAAAGTTCAGATTGGAGCAAAAGAAGATGAGCACAACGATCTAAGGATCATTTAAGTAGAAGATGGCATTTTCATTGATCAAATATATAAGAATTTGTTGGCGGCAACAGTTACATTGACTCCATTTGGATTAGATGTGCTCTTACACTTGCCTCCTCCTCCTGTTAATAATATAGAAGATCAATTTACAACTTCCAATTATTTGCCTCTAAAAACATGATTAATTTGCAAAATTTCATTCAAATTAAATTATCAAATTAACGGTTCGATCTAGGCCACTGTTCTAATATTATACGGCCCAGAGATTTGGATTTGGTGCAAGTAAAACAATCCAACCCGGTAGGGCAACTCTTACACAATGTGTTCGAGAGGGACTAAATAGGTACCTTACAAATGATGTTGTCGAATGTATCTGTATATAAGATTTTCTCCTTAATTAATTGTCTAATGCTGTGTGTGTGTGTGTATTTATCACTAAGAAAAATGGTTGAGCTTGACAGCAAGAAATTATGTTACTCACCGCAAGTGCAGAAACCAAGGCTAAATTATTCTCCAATTCTCTCTGTTGTTTTTGTGCGATTAAAAGCTCCGTAACCATGTAAAGCACCTTTTCCAGCTGAAGAAAATCATCGGAATTAGTACTTAATTATATACAAATAGTGATCCAATGAAAGATACCAAACTACATTAGGCTTTTTTCTGCGTTAATCAACTGTATTAAGAGGAACTAACCTGCGGCAACAGTTTAGAGACCATTCCTAAAATACCTTCCATCATAGCCATGGCCGTGGTCATGGATTCGTACAGAGACTCCACATCTACCTGTGATATACAAAAAGAGATATTCAAACTTAAGTACAAAGAAGCGGACAAACTACTCTATTATGACTAACTGACTTAATTTTTTAATTATTTTATATAAAGTGAGGGATATTATACCTCCGCGTCATGTACCAAAGGGATTGTGTTTGAAATTCCAGACAATTTTCTCACCAACCTGCAGACGGATTCTTGATTTTTTTTATCTAGTTTTCCCCATTCATTCAATAGAATAATTTGTGGGTTCAAAATCTGGTACACCTTAATCTCATGCTTTAGCTTTTGCACTTGCATTCTTTTGTCTAGGATGAAGTTTCTCACCTTCAATGTTCTAAGCCACACACTAAATATTTTATCCTGAAAAAAAAAAGACAATCTATTAAGCAAATTACAAAGTGTGCCACTTAATTTGTTAAAAAAAAAAAAAATTTAGGAGTGCTTACCTAAAATTCCCTAACTTTTTAGTATCATTTTAAATTGATCTCAAAGTTTTTAAACATTTCAAACAAACACTCAATTTATTGAAAATGTAACCATCCGTTAAGTCCTAGTTAATTTAACATAAATTTAACTAGGACTTCTTTTATCTCCAAAATCAATAGAAGATTATGAAAGTATGGCCTTCACCAATTAATGTTCACCACCAACTCCACCCTACAACTCTAGGCCACTCCAAACATGAGCAAAACAAATATGCTATCGCTGATCACCTTATCAAATATCCTAGGACTTAATAGTTTCCAACCACCAAGTAGGCCAATCAAAGCGTTCAGAGTATAAAAGTTGTGATGGACTTTGGTTGTCGTAGGTTGAGTTTAGAGGTGGCGAGGGCTTGACAGTTCCCGATTTTATTTTTGTTTTCTATTTTATTTATGAATTTATTTATTTTTATGTTTTTTTTGAAGTTATTTTTTATTATTGGTGTCCAAGTAAGCTAAAAAGCGGGACCTATTGTTGCCACATGTACATTTACCGAAAAATTAAATGGGGTTTAATGGATGTGACATTTTGAATAGATTAGATACTTATTTGGAATGTTTTAAAAGGATGAGACAAATTTAGAATGACACTAAATAATTGGGGGTTTTAAATATTTAATCCAAAAATTTTTGTGATAGAATTTTGTGGATTTCATAGACTTTTATTGACTATTAGAAACTCAAATTTACAGACTTTTCAATAATAGACTTCTACATATCTTTGAGAGTTTAATGACAGACTTAAGTAATAATTATACCCTTTTTTTTTAAATTTCTTCTACTAAGAAACCAATTAGGAGTAGGCAAGACTACACTTACGTAATTTTACTTTTTCTACTATGACCAAAATTGTTAGACATGTGAAAGAATCCTTAACTGATGAACATTATATATTTTTCATTCCAAATTCTTGTAAGTTGTGTGTTTCTGATGTGGTGTCGGGTGGTGGAGGAGTATGGGTTTGGGTGGTGGTGATGGGCAAGGTAAGACGAGGGTAAATGTGGCGATCAAGCGATGTTAGTAGTGGTCATGGATGGGGTTGGTGGTGGTAAGGTGGACGTAGAAGGTTATGGTTGATGACCGTGACAAGGCGGTTATAGTAGAGGAAGTGGTGGGAGTGGTGGTGGCGGACAAGGCAAAATAGTGGTACTATAGGTGGCGATCATGGTGGTTGTATCGATTACAACATAAATATATTTGTATGAGGTTGTGGTATAGTGATGATAAGTATGACAAGGTGGTGGTAATGGTGGGGCTGGGCAACAATGCTGATTACGGTAGCAGCAATTGTGCCGATGCCAGCAATACGGTAGTGGAGGTGGTCATGGTTATGTGGTGGTGACGACATATATATATATATATATATTATAGTGTGGCAAAAGTGAAAATAGTGATCCTCAATGCATTATGATAGGTGGTTGAGTATCAAAGTCTAACAAATCCTATCAAACTCCATACACAATACACCTTCCTTAAATGTTGTTGTGGCACAAATAAGTAAAATAATGAGCTCCATTATGCCTCGCCAGCATGTTGGACGGAATATTTTACGGAATTTAACGGCATAAACAAAGTGGTAACAAAAACATGGTTTAGCGGGCCGGTGAATTGGGTCATAGGAACATCATGAGGCAAATAGTAATTTACAAACACCTTCAGGGTCAAATAGTGAATATTCAAGCATTAATATATGATTAGTACCTGTGAACTTTTCTGTGCAGCAATCTTAGCAGCCTCAGCTCTGGCATTTGCAAACCTCCACTGCAGTAGCCTATTATGCAAAAGCCGAAACCGGTGGAAGTCCTCCTCTTGTACCGGCGACACTTTCTTCTGCAGCCTAAAATACTTCAAAACCCCACCAACCCCGCCACCACTAGACTTAACCCTAGATGCTCTTGTGGAAGGCACAGCCGCCGGGGACTCCGGCGCCACCTTCCATGGCAAAGACCGTCCCGGCGACAACGCCCATGCGGACGGAGACCTCGGAGGTGGCACGGACACTGATATCCGAGGGCGTGGACTTGGACTAGTACTCCCACCCTGCAACTTAGCAAAACTTGTATTTAAACCTAAATTATTAGTACCTTGTTTTCTACTGATATTTTCTTGGCCGCCCTTCTTTTGCTTGAGTGCATGTACTTCCTCTTCCTTGTGATCCTTATTGCCTCTTGATTTTACGATAGATTTCGAGCGGCAGGGGGTGGTGAATCTTTGGCTGTTGCATGGCGTGGTAGTGCATGATGAACTTGAAATGTTTTGCGGTATGGTTAGGGTTAGGGTTGTGGTCGGAGAAGTAGTTCCACTTCTGCTTCTGAGAAGTCGAGGGCTGGATTGCTGCTGCTGCTGCCTGCGTGACATGTAAGTGTCGTTCATCTCATGAATTAATTTCTGGGACTAATTGGACAAGTGATGACTTTGATTAATATAAGTCATGGATATTGAGGGAGTTGGTCGCACGTTAGGATTGAGCATGCAAACTAGACAGCTAAATTAATTCATCATGTCATGCTAGTCAGTATGTACTCACCAACTCTATTGTTTTCTCTATCGCATTGGTCAACGCTACAGAAATATATAAAACAAACAACTATGTATATGCATACATGATTCTATCGTTTTTCACTTAATTACAAATTTACCAGCATCCAATGGCTAATTTAATTACTAAGCTGTCATTTGTTTCAGAAATGCAAACTTAGCAACCTCAAACCATTTTCTTTTTCTGTTTGGTTAAATTCCACAATGTTCATGAGGTTTTGATTCATTGAATGTACACCAATTTACAATGAAATCCAACAATTCATCTCTATCCTATAGTATATAAGGGGGAAAATTCTCAATACTAAAGCCTCTACCAATTTACAATAAAATAAAACAAAAATATTTGTTATTAACCTTGGCATGGTTTTAGGGAGGAGTAACTAAAATCGTCATTAAGTCTCTTAATTAATAATGAAATTTAACATTTTGTCATTCAATCAAAGTACTCAAATTAATAAGGTTTCAATCTAAGATTTTAGTCTACTAGAGACCAGATCGAAAGTTTCCTTAAAAAAAAAAATCAGTCTAATATTTCATTTTTTGACCTTTGCTTCCTTGAATACAAATGTTAATTGACATTTCACGAGATATTTTTTAGTGTGGAGTGATAATACAATTGATTGTAATTTTTTTTTTCAAGTTTCCAACCAATTATATTAGACACTTGGTGTACCGGGCTCTGTTCGCTCTAAAAAATCTCTCGACATTTCACTTCCTTATACGTGTACTTTTTGAAATTAAGGTTATAATTAATTACTATATTTGATATGAAAGTTTCAATTTTAGAGTAGAATTCTCTCTCCTTCTCTCTCTCATCTTATTTGAACGGTCACGATTAACTCACATCAACATCTTGTGTTGATTTTTTTATAGAGAGAGAAAGACAAAAAGAAGAGGAGAGATTTTTCAGTGTTCCCGTCACACGAAGTGGTACACCACGTGTTCCTATATAAATGGTGAGTTATGTGTGTTAAAAGGTTAATAACTTAAAAATTAAAATTTTCCACCACTTACATAAAAACACGTGGTTTATCATCCCTATTCCCGTCACAACTAAAATTTTTCCAAAAAAGAGTTAGAGAGAAGGGGAGAGAAGTGGAGAGAAGGAAAGAAAAATTAGAGGAGAGAGGATCCTAGTCCTTCAATTTTGGTTGTTATTAACTTGACATTCTTGCAATGATGATAATTAATGGCGAGGATATCTCTCTACTTTATCCTATCTTCCGATTGGATCTTCCTATTGATATTTTATTTTATTTTATTTTTCTTTTAAATGATAAATGCCGTTGTTAACAAAGGGTCTTTTTCGACCCCTGAAATAATACTGGCCTAGGAAAGCCCCAAAAAAGGCCTAAGGAAAGAACATGAGACCAATCAAAGGGCTCATGAACTAGTCCAATAAAATTAGAGGAAGCAGCTCCTAGTGCAATAAACGACCACTTAATAGTCTGGTTTGACTTTTGTCAAGTAAGCTGAGCACATTACCATAAGGTATTTTCTGACCGCTTGAAGCAAATTGTCATACTAACAACTTTATAGCACGGAGACAGGGACATGCCTACTCAAACACCAACCCTAAGCCACATGTTAAATATCAGCAAGGACAGAGGCTTATGAAGGGACATAAAAAAATGTCAGACCGAGTGCTTGAATTCCTCAAACGCATACGTATCTAGTTTTCAAACTAATTAACAATTAGATAAATGCACAATCGGGTTCAAATAATATTAGGCATCACTACGCTCTCCGAGTCCAAATACTGAAATGAATGAGCTTATCCAAGTTGGACCAAAATCAATTAAGCAAATCTTCACTTATCCCAAAAATCTTAAATCCACTGCCACGAGTTTAATTTGAAGGATGTTTTTCTCTTTCATTTTGGAAAAAAGTTTGAAAGGATTGAAAAACCAAGGTTCATCTGGAATATAAATAACGGTTGGTTTGCAATATTATCGACTTGGACCTGGATTGTCTGCCATTCTCATCTTATACCCTTCCCAACCCCTCTTACTTCTGATCACGGTTAAGTCACGTCAACATTTTATATTCTTATTGTTTTTTGTCTTATTATTTCTATAAAAAAATCAATATAAAATGTTAACGTGGCTTAACCGTGACCACATAAATATGAGGAGATAAAAAGGGTATGAGATGAGGGAGGACAGACAATCCAAGTGCTTATCGACCTAGCCTACTTCTACCCATCATTCTATCCACTCTTTCAATTAGTTTTTTTTATACAAGTAAGAGTAATTTTATAATCTAACCTAAACTACATAATACAGATTTGAACTTAAATGCAAAAGAAACACAAATTTATCTAACTTGGGTACACTGGAGACGGCATAAAACAGGGTAGGTTGGGACTTGGGATGTCTTGGACTGAAGATTATATTTGATTCCAAAACCCCATTATTTAATTAAATGCAAAATGGCATTACGTGACATGTCATGCTTGACCATGCATGGCTTCACCTCACAGAATTACTACAGCACACCAGAACTAAAAGGAATCCAGAAGAAGAAGATAAGGAGAGAGAGAGAGAGAGAGAGAGAGAGAGCTGCACTGTGGAGGGCTCTCTCTCTCTTGACTTCTTCACCAACCGTGCAAACTAAAAAGGAGGCAATGACAGGTAGAAACTTAAAGTATTTTGGACTTTAATTTATCAACTTATATTTTTGTCCTCATATTATTCAACTTTTTAATTAAATTATTTTCCTAAAGAGAAAAATGAGGGAAACAGTTTTGATTGGGTAAAAACAATTCGATGGACAAGCATAAACAAGGGCCACCTTCACTGTAACTTTTTAATTTTGTTTGACAATTGACATTGACTTTCCTACGAGCAAAGAAAAATTCTCATCTTTTTAATGAGAATAATTGAATGTAAAACAGAAAATTTATTGCCTCATCTCCAATTCTTAATTGAGCTTCGAAATTGTAAAGTTCATGGAATGGAATAGCTCGTGTTTAGCGATTTTGGCACTTCCAATTTAACTTCCGCATACCAAAATCGAGTTCAAAATTTGAACACTCCCACTTTAACTTCCGAATGCCAAAGTCGAGTTCAACGTTTTCCACACCCATAATTTAGCTTCCAAAGGCCGAAGTCGAGTTCAACGATTTCCACTAAGAAGCTAAAACTGGAACTGCCAAAGTCGCTACCCTATTTCGTCTCATGCAGTACAAAGCATAAACTATTAAAATAATCAAAATAAAAAAAGAACCTATCTCCATTAAACTATCCAAATCAAAAACCGCTGTATAACATTCTCAAAAGGGAAACGAGAAATTTCTAGTTCATCAGTATATACAACAAAAAGAAAACCATGTGTTGGGAAAGCAAAACAACATGATGAGCACTTTTTTAACTTTTAAGTTGTCAATGATCATTGATCAAAGATTTCAACTTATAATTTAAAAGCACTTTTTTTTAACTGCATTAATCGGAAACTGTTGATAATTCAACCTGGCTAACCTCTTCATCTTCTTCTTCCTCCTCCTCTGGTGCAGGGAGATTGAGGTCAATGACCAAATTGTCCACAAAATTAGTAGAAGATGATGAGAAATTAACATTCCTAGCAGGGGCATTGTTGGTCAAATTATTGTAGTAGTGTACTTTTTTATGCCCACCGAGTGCTTGGCCGGAATCAAACCGTCTGAAACAAACAGAGCACTCAAATGTCCTGTGATTCTCCACCACCGCCAAGTTACCATCCTGCCCATCACCTTCCTCAAAATCTTCATCTTCTTCCTCTTCGTAGTCATCAAACACTTGGGTTTTGATGGTTTTCTTGTGACTCGCTCTGTGCCCTCCGAGCGCTTGATAAGATCGGAACACTTTGTCACAAGTCTCACACTTGTACTTTCCCTGACTCCGGACCCGATCCTTGATCCGAAAATCTGAACGGCCGCCGCTGTCGGACTCATCTTCCTCCTCCTTCTCCACGGACTCAACCACCCCATTTTTTACTTTCACTGTTTCCCATTTATCCATCGATAGCATGATGAGACACCTGGCAACATCTTCAGTTGAAAAAGTATCGGAAACAGAACTCACCTGTTCTGCCTCGAACGGCAGCGGCGAAGATTTGCCAATCACTTTGCGGCGCCGCTTGGATCTTCTCCGCGTTGGGTTTCTCGGGTGGGACTCGCTGTCGCTGTCGTCGTGGACCAAGGCTGAATCCAGAGAAGAATGCATGCCCCTGTTCGAGGTCGAAAATGGAAGAGACGACGACTCCGGCGAGTTACTGAGTTGGTGATGCTGCTGCTGCTGCGGCGGCGACTGCGGCTTCGGAGGGAGAGGAAGCTTGGCGAGGTGGGACCTCATGTGACCCCCCATCGCTTTTCCATTAGAGAACCGTTTGTTGCAGATCTTGCAGATTCTGTGCTTCTCCATGGAAGATGAAGAGCAAGAAATCTCTCTGCTTTCTCTCTCTCCCTCTAAAAACTCTCTGCGTTTGATGTGAGGAGAGAGAGAGAGAGAGGAAGGGAGTGTGTGAAACTTGATAGGGGACTTAATATGGTGAGTAGGTGACAAGCATTTCCTTACGCATAAGGAACAAAACCAGAAATATATGTCCTTCGGAGGCCGTGGCCATTTGGTGCATGATGCTTTTTATTTTTTGTTTTTTGTTTAGTATTTGAGCGCTCCTCTTATATATTTTCGATTTTATTTCTTTCTATATGGTGCAATTATAATCGTATCTGGCTCACATTCATGTAAATCCGAACGCATTAAATATAAGTTTAAAGTTCATCCCAAAAGAAAAATAATAGTTCATTTTTTCAGATTTTGATTTCGTTTTCCATATTTTCTGCTCCTTTTTAAGTTTTATCTTTTATTTTTATGGCTTGAATGCGCCTTTATTTTATGGTCAAACAATCTCTCAATGTGGATTACTTGCCCTTTATTATTTACGGTGAAATATCAAGTTTTTATCTTGAATATTGGTCGTTTTAATATAAAGTGACCTTTAGGTTTCAAAATTATCTAATTGTGACTTTAAATGGCTGGTCATCAGTTATGAAGAAAATCAAATGGCACAAAACAACATTCCTAATTTGGACGATTCACTTATAATGATAGCTTCGCGTACTACTAACTTTTACGTGGACGTTTCTAAACACGGCTAAATTTTATACATTAATTATAGCGCCATGTCAATTATAACATGCCGCGTACATTATAAATAAAGTTTCACGTTAATAACAAAACCTAAGTGACACGTGAGCACGATTCTCTAATATTTTTTTTATTTGGAGATACCATTTACCCGGTTAGGCTAGTTTAATCCATATTTTTTTATATTGTCGAATGTGCTAATAAAAACACACACACACGTACGCACAAATAATATTACCAGTAATTTGTGTGAAATAATTCTAAAAATGGTGAAATCTAAATCTTGATAATCTGGAATTATCCAAAACGATGGCTGTAAATTCGATTTAATATCTGATTAATTTGCATGGATTGGAAGCAGTCTTTGAGAAAGGAAGATAATTTTGATTTGCTTTAATTATGAGGTGGAGTTTTAAGTTGGACTGAATCACCGACATGAGTTGGGTTGGGCTGACTTGGTATGGGGCAGCGTGAACTGTGTTTTGCTAAGCAAGTTGGGACTCCAAGTCATGTCCAGGTGCGGTGCAGATAATGAGTCACGTTGAGATTTATCCATTTATAGAAATAGGCGGATCTGTGGTACTGTTTTTTTTTACATATGTTTTTGTAGAGTTTATTTTGTAATGCATATTAACAATTCGAACTGTTTATGGTTAGATCATAAGTTATAGATATCCATGCAAAATCTAAACAAATCGAAAAATATTAAGACATTTATTTACAAGAAAATGAACAAATACAGTTCTACAAAGAAACCCAAAACCATTAATCCAGTGATCATATAGTTTCAAATCTGGGTGTTTTTTGTAGACATAACCTTTGATGGAGGACCTAAAAGATAGATGACTCGAATCTTTAAAATATATTACGGAGTAGATCCTATAAAAAAGGTGGACGAGAACAACGTGTAAAAGAATGATTCTACAAATCCGTCCCTTGTATAAATGTTGTGTCCGTGAGTAACTCACGAGTGGATCAATATGCATTAAAAAGATGGTCTATCTTTCAAGTGAAATCCAGGAATCAAAGTCCAAGCAGTGTTGGAGGCGTCGGAGTTTGATTGGAAGCCGAATCAAAGCACACTTTTTTCTAGGGTTTCGGCGGGTTTGAGTGAAATTGAGGTTTTCCCGGCCAAATTGGACTTGGCCACAGGTATAAAGTTTGCTCTACTCTTTGAGATATTCATTTCTGTAATTTTTGGTAATTTTTAAAAATAGTTGAATTTTCCGGCAAGTCGGGGCGGCGAACCGCCACCCGCGGCGGCGCGTGCGGCGGTGGCCTGGCCAGTGGGCCGACGATGTCCTTTTAAGTTCAATTATATGCCCTGATTTCATAATTGACATCCTTATGATATGGTTTGATTGTTTGAACCTAATTTCATTACGATACGTGGTTAGGTCAAAATATGATTTGACGATCCGACCGTTGGATCGTCACCAAACCTTAATGCGTGATAGAACATAATATTTTTGGATCATAGAAACTTACGGATCGAGAATCCGACGTACGGATCTTCCCTAATTGGATTTCTAAGTTGTAAAATTAAATGTCGCCCGCCACTTGAATTTTGAAATTGGCGGAGATCCGATCGTCGGATCGTGTTGAGATTTTAGTATGTTGATATATGAGCATAATGTGGACCTTGAAAATTTACGGATCTGAAATCCAATATGTGGATCTTCCGGATTGAATTGTGTAGAATTGTGGACCTTACCTTTGACCGAAAGTTGACTTTTGATCACCATGTCTCGAAACGTCCTAATCACTAAAATTAGTACTACGGGGACTAAGTGAAGTCTAGTGGGCCTACATTGGTTAGATAGCGACTTGAATATATGAAATGATTATTATCTTAATTTCTTATATTAGTATCATTTATGAATATGAATTGGTCTTATAAATATGATTTCTATTGAAATGTGAATTTTATATATTTAGCCATAGACCTATGCTAATTAAATATGAATTGGCTTATGTACGAGTGATGATTGTGATATATGTGCGTTTCATTATCTTTTAGTAATGTGAAGGGTAAGTCCGATAAATGTGGTGACAATGTGATCGTATATTCCTATTAGAAGTATTCTATAGAACTTATATGCTTGTGTGACATATTGGTTGGTGGCCATGAGAAGTGAATGTGGTAAGTGACTACGTTGTAATTATGGAGATGATGAGGTTTAGATATACCTGGTACATTTGGTAGGTATCATATGCTTGCTTAGATTCCGTTGAGTGATGGTCCGAAATCGTATCCCATTTTGGATTCCGTTGAGTGATGGTCCGGAATCCCTTCTACTCTGCGATTCCGTTGAGTGATGGTCCGGAATCGTATCCCAGTTTGGATTCCGTTGAGTGATGGCCCGAAATCCCTTCTACTCCGCGATTCCGTTGAGTGATGGTCCGGAATCGTATCCTAGTGTGAATTTCGTTGAGTGATGGTCCGAAATCCCTTATACTCCGCGATTCCGTTAAGTGATGGTCCGGAATCGTATCCTAGTGTGGATTTCGTTGAGTGATGGTCTGAAATCCCTTTGGTGTCTTGGTCCCTCGGATTTGTTTTCAGCTTCAGAGATGTAGGCTTCGGCCGAACTGTGTAACTCTAACCCAACTTTTCATGGTGTTGTATGAGATTATGATTCTGAGCTGCTGTGATTTGTTTCAGACGAACCGTTGGATGTTTAGGTGACTCCTTCGGAGTTGTTAGAGTTCCTTGGTTAAATTTGTGAAATGATATGTTACTGCATTCGTTGATTGAATAATTAAATGCTAAGATCACGTATCTTTGATTCATGATTAATTAATTGATGTGATTGTGGAGTGACGTTGAGTATGATTGAGATTATTATGATTATAGTAATTGATTAATGTGACTTGAGAATAACATTGTGCTTCGTTGGTTCTGGATATGTTACATACTATGATTTGCGGTATTCTGTGAAACAGAGTGATTCATATGATGGATGAATTGGAAAGTATCTGTGTGAGAACGGGTTACATACGTGTAGGGAAGATGATAATTGTTGTTTGACGTAAGATTGAGGTGTAATATGGGTGCATTATGATTTTATGTTAGAAGTATTTTACGAAAAGATTAGAGTTGACGATTGGTGAACTACGAATGGCTTGATTCCTTTTGAGGGTACGTAGGCAGTCTAACGAGGAGGTTAGATGCAACCATAAAGTATAAGAAAAATTATCACGAAATTCGAATCTTGAGTTGTGCATTGTCCATATCTCGGAGGCGGGGTATGTGAGTGTTGCGGGTATTTTGTAACGTCACGTGTCGATCTTGGACATATGTCGGGATCGGGGCGTGACATTTCATTTTTTGATAAACAATAAGATTAGTATAACGGAGTGTATGATGCAAACTATATTATCAATATTAGTCACAATTACATTTCGAGTACATTACAAATATATATCGTTTGGTCATTTATACGAGTCGAAGTTGAGACATCTGAACAAACGTATATCTATTTACCAAATGTTTGTTTACGAGGATAGTCGACCAAACGACACAAGGAAAGAGTAGAAAACTCAAATCATTTTCCTTCCTTTGCGCATTGTTTTTCTTTTCTTTTGGGTCCTACCATGAAGAGAAATTTGAATTAAACGGCTATTTAACAGTATTATTTGATGAGTGGACAACATAGGCAAACTTCTTTTGCCTAATTTTGGCTGGAAAATATATTCCAAAAAAAATAATTATTGGCTGGTGAATTTTAAACATACCTAAACCATTTTGGTTAAAAATCTTCATCACATTGTTTGTTGTGTTTCTGGTCTAATTCATCACCAAATAAAATTTGTAATTCTTTTTTTTGGTAAACTGGATTTATAACCAGGGCAAAGCCAAAAAACTACAAGGAGTTCCACACCAAGGAACAACCAACAAACATAATACAAATAAACTACTTCAGAGTGATATAAGGAACAAAGACCCGACACAACCACACCATTGTGTCACCCTAAATCACTCGATCCTAAACAAGACTAAAGGCGGACATGGTAAACCATCCTTGTTCAATATATAAACTATCAAAGATGGAGGTATGTCGACCCAAGTACAATCGCTCATCTCCGAGGAAGAAGCAAGTTGATTAGCAACCATATTTGCCGATCTAGGCACCCAGGACCAACGACACATTTGGAAAAGTTCCTTCACGCAAAATTTTCCTTAAGATTGGAACCGTGTCCCACTTGCCATAAAATTTGTATTTATGTCAAATTACCCACCAATATGTTCAATGTGGCGAAAACGTCAAAACATTTTGCTGACATAAAATTTTAATCAGTTGCGATCGTGTGCCGCTCCTTGCATTAAAATTTGAATCTTCTCCTCAAATATCACCTTAAAAATACTAGATACACACTTGACACTTAATCGAAAAAGAAAAAAAAGGAAAAGATTTACATTTGGAAAAGAAAAAGAAAAAGAAATTACATTTGGCCACAAATGGAAAAGAATCTAGGTAGTCAAATATCAAAACATTTTGCTAACGTACAATTCTAATCAAATGTGACAGTGTGCCACTCTTTGCATTGAAATTCGAATACCCACCTCAAATATTACCTTAAAAATTCCAAAGAAAAAAAAAAGGAAAGAAATTTACATTTGGCCAAGAAAATGAAAAAAAAATTGCATTTGGCCACAAATAGAAAAGAATTAAGGTAGACTTTCCAAAAGGGTAGAAAGAAATCAAATTTTACGCAAAGACTTGATAAAAGTCCAAATCTTCAAAACTTGTGAGTAAAAACAAAAAGTATCACTTAAATTATGATGTAATGATATTCTTTTTTATTTGTAGGTGAAAATTTTTAAGTTTAATTCTCGTCAAAAACGAATTTAAACCATATTAATAATAGTATATTATGAGACTAAAAGATAATTTTTGTTAAAATAAAAGCAAAAAGCGAAGCGCCACACACCCATTCATTCAAAACTCGCATAAAGTTTAGAGAGAGAAAATCTAGCGGTTCATAGATACTGAAAAATCGAGAGAGAGAGAGAGAGAGAGAGAGAGAGAGAGAGTGACATTGTGAAGAAGAACTGAGACAAACTGAAAGAGAAGACAAAAATGGGATACAGAGCAACAGCGGAAGACGACCCTGAAACGATGTCGTTACAGGCAGTGAAAGCGAACTCAAAGACCGGCCCTTTACCGTCGTCGAAGCGGCGGACGGCGACCTGGGCAGACATCTGGCTCAAGAGGAACACCACCCCTCTCAAGAACCTGATATTCGCTATGCAGCTGGCTTCCCCCAAATCGAAACCCGCCCACGAGACCCTTATCCCCCATTGCGAAAACATTGATCGGACTTCCGTGTTATCCGACGAAATCCTCCTCAAGATTCTCGCCAAGCTGCCGGAGTCGCAGCGGAAGCCTAGCTCCGTCGTCTGCAAGCGGTGGCTCAACCTCCACGGCTGCCTTGTACGGTCAATCAAGGTCTTGGACTGGAACTTTCTCCAATCTGGTCGGTTAATTTCTCGGTTTCCCAATCTGAATCAGGTGGACCTGCTAGCTGGGTCGTTGATTCCGGACCAAAATTCTGAAATTTTGTTGAGTTGTGGGATGTTTCCGGTGCATACCGGTTTCGGGTTTTCGCCGAATCAGCGAGTTCTGGAATCGAGTTTGCTTCCAGCTGAAGTTGTTGATAGAGGGCTTGACGGGTTGGCGAGCGGGTGCCCCAACTTGCGGAAGCTTGTGGTGATTGGCGCTAGTGAATTGGGGCTGCTGAGTGTAGCAGAGGAGTGCCCCACATTGCAAGAACTGGAATTGCACAAGTGCAGCGACAATGTGCTGCGTGGGATTGCGGTGTGTGAGAATTTGCAGGTGTTGAAGCTGGTTGCAAATGTAGAGGGACTTTACAGTTCAGTGGTTTCAGATATCGGATTGACGATTTTAGCTCAAGGGTGTACTAGATTGGTAAAGCTGGAGCTTTGGGGATGTGAGGGTAGCTTTGATGGGATTAAGGCAATTGGGCAGTGTTGCCAAATGTTGGAGGAGCTGACTTTCTGTGATCATAGGATGGATGGTGGGTGGGTGGCCGCCCTTTCGTACTGCGAAAATTTGAAGACTTTGAGGTTTCAATCGTGTAAGAGGATTGAAACTGTTCCGGGGCCGGACGAGTATTTGGATGCTTGTCCGGCTCTGGAAAGGTTGCATTTGGAGAAATGTCAGCTGAGGGACAAGAAGAGTGTGGGAGCTTTGTTTATGGTGTGTGGAGCCGCCAGGGAGATTGTTTTACAGGACTGTTGGGGATTGGAGAATGATATGTTCATGCTAGCAAACACTTGCAGGTCTATTGGTTCTTTTCTTTCTGTTAAGTCTTTTGTTGCCTGAGATTTATATTGCATTGGCATGTATAAAATTCATCCTTATACAGTTATACTAGAGATTAGTTATCTCTTATCGATCGACGAATGTTCATAACGTTATGAATAGGTTTGATAGATCTGAAGTTAAAATCTTTCTGAGATTGGTGATGTTTTAATGAACTATAGATACTTCGATATGCTTGAATTGTCGAAAGTTCATGTGTATCATTCAGTAGCTCGTACTGTTTGAGTTGCTAAGATTTTTGTCATCGAATTCTTCTTGAGAAAGAGGATATTTGGGGAAATGTAGTTAGTAATTACTAGTCCTCTAGACTGGATTTGATATTCTTGAATTGGATTTTTACGGGTGTTTGGTGTTGTCACAGGAGAGTGAAGTTCCTATCACTAGAAGGATGCTCGGTACTAACAACAGAGGGTCTGGAGTCTGTAATTCTTCCCTGGACGGAGCTCGAATGTCTTCGAGTAGTGTCGTGCAAGAACTTAAAGGACAAGGAGATATCTCCTGCACTCGTAACCTTATTTTCTACTCTCAAAGAGCTGCAATGGAGACCGGAAACCAAATCTCTTCTCCCGTCAAGCATTATCGGAACCATCATAGGAAAGAAAGGCAGTAGATTTTTCAGGAAGAGTCGAAGACACGAGATCTGAAGATGCTGTTCATCGATCAGAATCCGCCCCTCGAATTTATACACAGCTGAGATGGTCTCTTGTATGAAGAATGTATGAGGATAGTGTAGTTAGCTGTACTCATTTGTTGGCCATTTGGATGGTTAAGAACACAGAGGAAAATTGTTGTTAGTTTTAATCTTCCACAATAAGGAAACAGCCCAGATTGTACAATTATATTACAGTTTGCCCGACCCACTTCTCCCCTGGTGAATGTTGGGCAAAACCTTTTCTCCATAACGTTGATTTTATGGTACAAATGTTTTAGTTCTTTATTGTTGCAAAGTAAGGGTAAAACTGTGTACGATAGATGTTTTTTCCCAACTCTTGCAAAGCGGGGAGCTTTGTTGGTTTGGAGCCACCATTTTTATTCTTTTTTGCTCCTTCAACACATTATAAGAAGTATCTAAAACCCTAGATCTTCTTTACTGTTTAGAAAATTGTTACCAATGGCCCTCTAAACTTAGGACTTCTTTGGAATGAGATCCTCTCCGGATTTCTTCTATCAAGGCCACCGAATGGAGTAATCCGAGCCCTTAAAATTTAATCCAACGGCTAAAAATGGGGGCCCTTTTTATAAGTTATATAACTTTAGTCGTTTGATCAAATTTCAAGGATTCAGATAACTTGATTCGGTGACCTTGTTGGAAGAGATCCGGAGAGAATCTCTTTCCAACTTCTTTCGAATTAGTTTTGAGCCCTCTGTCCATTTTAATGCTTAAATTCTCCCTACCATTAATTTTGTCAATTGTTCTGTTAAGTTGAGGGTAACTTTCATTCATCTATAGGACATTGCTTACAAAAAAACTACTTTGGTCTGATTACTTTATCCGTACCTCTCAAAAAAGCATGAGATTCTGCGTATTTTAATATCATCTCATTATATAATGGACAAATAATCTCACCGTGAATTGCCCGGAGTCTTACCCAAGCTTCTGATCATTGCATTCAAAGGCAACATTGGAAAATCCCTTTGATGGGTTCTGTGATCAAATCCTAGATTCCTACGTGTGTGTGTGGAAATTCCAAAAAAACCTCAATCTATAAAGAATAACTTTACAATTTACATAACTCGTTATATAACAATTTAAAACTTTATAAACGAAATAAAGACACGTAACGAAAACACATCCATGTCTTTATTTAATGGACAAGCATTGTTTGCCCTCTTTTTTTCCATGCCCTCCTGTTTGTGTGGTCACGGTTAAACCACATCAACATTTTATATTACTATTCATTTCTATCTTATTATCTTTATAAAAAAATAATATAAAATGTTAACGTGGTTTAACCGTGATCACACAAAACAGAAAGACGTGGAAGAGCATGAAAAAAGAGAGGGCAGACAATTCTTGTCCTTATTTAATTAGATGAAAACGTCATTGACAATATACAGTGTACTCGTCATATAAGTTCTTTCTCCTAGATAATACTCAAGTATTATAACATACGACTTTTTTAATTTAGTCCAACAAATACATCCTTCCAATTTCTTATTTTTAAACAGTAATGTTATTCTTACCACATTAATATATCACATTAATGTACCACATTATGTGACATCTGATGTGGCTGTCCACATCATCTAAATTAATCATATTTTAATTTAAATTAAAAATCATTTAATAAACCAATAATAAATAAATAAAATATGGAATTAAATGATATTTGTGGCATACGAGGAGTCTTCTTATTCCTTCCTTCCTTCCCCGTTGCACAACGAAGGTTTTCCAGTCGGCGAAAACATGAGAAGGACAATGTCAATGTCGCATAGTATAGATAATTCATTAGCCTTTTTCATGATGCCATTCTTCCTTTTAGCATAAGTTGCTTGACGCCCATTTGTATTCTCCAACCCCTTAATTTTTAGCTTTACCCTTCCCATCCTGCACTTTGGACCGCGAATCTTACGCTTGAACTCCCCTTCTTTGACAGTCCAAAATATCGAAAAGCCTACCCAAACACAAAAACCAATAATTTCTTCATCACAATCTATCCAAATAGGGGATCATCGATGAATCTTTGTTGTATGAGAATTAGTTGAGATTGTGGTATCCACACTAACGTGAAAAAATTTGGGCTGAAACAAAAAAAATGGTGTGGAAGAAGAAACGGGAGAAGAAGCAACGGGGAAGGAAGGAAGGAATAAGAAAGACTCCTCGTATGCCACAAACATCATTTAATTCCAAATTTTTTTATTTATTATTGATTTATTAAATGGTTTTTAATTTAAATTAAATTATGATTAATTTAGATGACGTGGACAGCCACATTAGATGTCACATAATTTGGTACACTAATATGGTATATTAATGTGGTAAGAATAACATTACTGATTTTTAAATTCAAGAAAAACTAAATAATGTCCATTATTTAATAAAATATGTGTCAAAACAAAAAGTGAGGACTGACGTTATTGACATCAGCTGCTGACGCTTGGAAAAGTTTTCTTTGATTCTCCTCCCACCCACGCAACTCTCTCTCTCTCTCTCTCTCTCTCTCTCGCTCTCTCTGCAACTCCATTCTCCAACTGCAACAACAGTGGGATTCCAGCCAGACACCCAGAAGATGAACAACAACAAAGGCAAAGCAGTCGCCGTCTCAAGCCCCAACGTCAACGACATCGACGACGACGACGACGGCAACGGTAACATCAGCGAAGACGAATTGGACGACGACAACAACAGAAGCAGTGGCTTCTCTTCCACTTCCATCAGATTCTCGTCCCGCAACACTTCCTCCAAATACGACTTCGTCAAGGTTCTCCGTTTTATTCTGACCCAAATAACAAAGATTCTTCATTTCTGTTTGGTTCCCGAGAAAATGATTCAGAAATCGAGTATCTTTTCTGTTTTGGTCATCAGGTGAAGGTCTGGCTGGGTGATAATGCAGACCACTACTACGTTCTGTCCAGATTTTTGCTCAGTCGAATGTTGACTGTCACCAAGGTATCGATTTCAGTCGACCCAATTCAGTATTTTGATTCAGCTGTTTGTTTGTTTTTGGCAAATTGTAATGGTTTTGATCATGTTATTTAGTGTGAATTTTTGGTGTGGTGATTTGCAGATCCCGAATTATGTAGCGATTAAAATAGCGCTGGAGCTCAAGAAGTTGCTGATTGACAACAGCCTGCTAGATGTGTATGCTGTCTCCACATTGATTATGTTTTGTTATTCTGATGTTTCTTGTTGTTTTGGTTGGATTTTTATAAATGGGTTCACTTTTGGGTTCGCCTGATGTGTTGCAGTTCGCAGTCCGATTTGGAAGTGAATTTGTTTAAGGTAATGTCGTATGCTTGTGTAGTTGTCGGAAAAGTAGTGCACTTTGCAAACTTTCTAGATGCTGAATGAGTTCATGCTGTATGTGTAGCTTATGGAACGAAGGGGTTATGGGGAAGAGTACATAAATCGGTACAAGATGATGACCAGGTCAGTCTAAAATCTATGTACTCTTAGGAAGTGCCTAGAAACCGAATAAACAAAAGATCGTAAATTTTACTAAATTAATACTGATACCAGTTTTTTTCTTTGGTGGGACAAATTCTTACAGATTTCACCATCAACGAGTGCCTTTAGTTATTCTTGTATGTGGAACTGCCTGTGTTGGAAAGTCGACCATTGCTACCCAACTCGCACAAAGACTAAATTTGCCTAATGTCTTGCAGGTTCTAATATTTATCATCTCTCTCTCTCTCTCTCTCTCCCAACTTTTTTTCAAGGTGCACAGAGATGTCTTTGATATTTTCAATTGATCCTCTGTTTCCTGTGTAACTGTTACAGACGGATATGGTATATGAATTGCTGCGCACGGCAACAGAGTAAGTTCCAATTTCACACATTTCCTTTGTTTTTCATTTGAATGTACACAAAAAAATAGTTTGCAAAAGAATAGCGTGTCCTATGTTAAGCTGATTAGTTATGGTGTGTGTAAGTCTTTTGTTTTGACGAACGATATTAGAATGCTTATTCTCTCTTTTTATCCAATTCAGTGCACCGTTGACATCTACTCCTGTATGGGCACGAGATTTCAGCTCCTCTGAGGAATTAATTACTGAATTTTGTAGGGAATGCAGGATTGTCCGTAAAGGTAATGTCTTTATTAATCCATCTGCTGAGATGTGCCAGATGACTACTTTTGAAGTTATAACATTGAGAAATTAGAAATATCTCTTTGGCTGGTGTATTGATCAAAGTTCTGAAACATGTGTTTACCAGGATTGGGTGGTGATATGAAGAAAGCTCTGAAAGATGGAAAGCCAATAATAATAGAGGTGTGTTTATTATTAACATTCATGGATCACAATCGCATTGTAACTTACTTTTGTCCTCTCAAAGTTTTTCCTCTCTCTCTCTCTCTCTCTCTCTCTCTCTCTCTCTTCCTTTTCATTTCTTTTTTTGTCATCGAAACAATCTGTTTCAAATATTAAGCATGAAAAAGCTCATACAGATTTGACGCTCCAAAATTTTTGTTCTCTCCTTGCTTAGTTTGTTTGGAGATTCTGCACAAGTCACGATTATCTTGTTATGTACCTGAACCTTGTCTTGAAGTGAGAGTCAATCATATGAACTTTTAGTGCTCTATTTGCTTAGGTTGGTAATTTTCAGTAAGAAGTGTCGGAACAAATTTTATTGTTACTACTTTTAACAAAGGATTGGGTGTGCATGTATATCATATGGCTTAAGAATCTTTCCTCACGATGTTCCAGTTTGGGTGCTAAGTTCATGCTTATGTTAAAAAATCCATGATATTTGCTGCAATCCATGTTGCAGACAGGACTTTCTAGTTTACTAGAAGGATAGAGAGAGAATGCTTATCACGGCACTGCATGGACTATTGAGTTTTGTAATGCTGAACAATAAAGAGGGACTTTTTTGGATAACAAATTATCAATGACAATGTCATAAGCTTTAGCAAGCCTCTGTCCACTTAGTTTGTCTCGCTCTCAGGTTGGATGATTTCATTTGTATGATGATAATGGCAGGGAATACATTTGGATCCAAGCATTTATTTAATGGAAGATGATAATAAAACACAAGAACAAGAGAAAACTCAGGAGGCAGACCCCGTTGCAATAGATGGCTCCAAAACACAGACGGAAAACAATTCTCCAAGTGGAAGTTCATCTGAAGTTTGCAATGGTACTGCACATGTCAGCTGCAAAGAAGGGACACCAACTAACAAGGTGGATGAAGTCTCGAATCACCTGGAAGCTATTGGTCTAGCCGGAAGTGTTTCTGAGGAAAAAGGTTGATCCCCGCTGTGGATAATTCT